CTTTTCTAGATTTTTCTTGGATATTCTTGCCTTGCAGTTTCCAATAATTTTTTTTTTTCTTTTGAGACAGGGTCTCACTCTAGCTGCCCAAACTGGAGTGCAGTGATGTAATTTTGGCTCACTACAGCCTTGACCTCCCAAAGCTTGGGTGATTCTCCCACCTCAGCCTCCCAAGTAGCTAGGCCTACGGTGCGCACCACCACACCCAGCTAATTTTTTGCATTTTTAATAGATACAGGATTTCACCATGTTGTCCAGGCTGGTCTCGAACTCCTGGACTCAGGCAATTCACCTGCCTCAGTCTCTCAAAGTGCAGGGATTACAGGCGTGAGCCACCATGCTAGGCCTTCATTACATTTTAAAATCATTTCAATGCTATTGGGGAAAATCTGTTGGCATTTTTATTGGAATTACACTGAATGTATAGATTAACTTAGTGAAAATGGATATATTTATAACTTTTAATCTTCTTATCAAAAAACGTGGTCTGCTTTTTATCTGTTTAAGTTATTTTTTGTGCTCTTCAGTTTCATTGTATAGTTTTATTCTTGCAGAACTTATACTTTCTTCTTGCAGTTATTCTTATTTTATCTTTTTGTTGGAATTATAATATGGCTTTTTCTTTCATCATATTTTCTAATTACAGGTAGTCTGACATAATAGGCAATTAGAAAATAATATGTATAGACTTAACCTTATGTTTCACTAATTTATTTGTTCTCCTTTCCTTCTTAAAACCACTACTTTCTTCTCAATTCATTTTTTTCTTGTTAGAGTACATTGTTCACATACTCTTGCTAATAGCCCATCCCTATATGAATAGTTTTTCTGACTTGGAACAAGCAGGAAGTTTTAAAAAAATCACTTATAGCCCATCCCTATATGAAGATGAATAATATAAGTACATTATTCGTACTTGTTCCAAATCAGAAAATCTATTTATTTTGCCCTTGACTCTGAACGAGAGTTTGGGTAGAGAAGTCTAGGTTCGATGTTGTTTTTCCACAGCAGTTTGAATATGTTGCCTGTATTCTTCTTACATCTACTCTTGCTAGTGAAATAGTTATTGTCAAATTCACTCTACTTTTGCAGATTTTCTAAACTTTTTCTTTTAGGATTAAAAAAGAATCTTTGATGTTCTGAATCTTGACTGTAATGCGTTATGCTTGACCTATACATTCTGCACTATTCTGGAAACTCTTTTAGTCAAAAGAGGTATGGTGGTGGTGATTTTATCCCCAAGGGACATTTGGCAATATCTGGAGACATTTTTAGTTGTCACAACTGACAACCAACCCTGGGGTAGGGGAGGGAGGGTGGTGGATTTGCTACTGGCATCTAGGGAGTAGGGCCAAGGATGCTGCTAAACATCCTACGGTGCGTAGAGAAGCCTCTCACAATAAAGGGTTGTCCAGCCCAAAAAGCCAACAGTGCCAATGCTGACAAACCCTGAGGTATGGGTATTTTAGTTCTAGTCCTTGGTCTTGCCACTGGGGGCAAAATGAATTTGGCCTCAGCCTCATGGCAACACTTTCTGACTGGGAGATTCTGTCCTGGCTTTGTGACAATGGTTGTCCTGGCCTGTGGTGGTGCCAGCCTCAGTGTATTACTGTGGTTTACCTAGCTCTTCCCTACCTGTATGAATGCCTCATAGGTGTTAGTTCATGGAGAGGTGCTTCTTGTTTGTGAGGATGGCTATGCCTATGGCAATGCTTTAAAATATCTTCCCCATTATTACTATGAATTTGTTTTAGTAGAGGGCGATTTCAGCATGTGACCTTCAAGGTCTTTACACAAAGGTGCAAAGTCAATAAAATTAATTCTAGCAATACTGAGAGAGAAAAGGAAGCAATAAATCACTCATAAACTTATCAACTAGAAATCAAGATTAATAATATTCCAGAAAGCTTTAAAAATATATCAGAGAAAATATAAGAACAGCTAGATAGAATTATGTTAAATCGAATAATGTGAACATACTATTTTACATACTATTTTGAAATTATTTTTACATTTATTTCACTTGAATGAAAGAAAAAGCAACTAATAAAATTGAAGGAAGAGTTGAACTACAGAATATTTTTTATTTAACTCAAGAACTTTTAGTTACAGGAAGATTAATATTAAAATTACTAAATTGCAAAAAGCATAAAATGTTTGGAGCCATTTTTAAAGTTGTTTTGAAATACATATTAGCACTCAAACTTCCCCACTCTCTAACTTTTGTTAATTGCTATAATGGATATCTATTGTTTTGATGTATCCAACATCCTTTCATCCTACTGATATTCTTTGGGGGAACATCTTTCCCCTTTACATCATGTTTTGTGGAAATTTTTCAACCAAGGAACTTGCCCTTTGCGGGCTAAGAGTTGAGTACAGTATGCAAACTAGATAATGCAACTCTCTCACTGTAATTTAACCTTCTTAAATCAAGTAAAGAAAATGACTGTGGCCAAGTCACCCCTGCCACGTAGGTCCTTGTAACTTCCCAGGCACCTCTCCCCTCTAAGGCCTATTTGGTCAGCTTGTCCTTTTATTCTATCAGGTCCTCCCTAATGATTCCAATAAATTATTTTTGTTTGTTTTTTTAAATGATCCAAACCCTGGTTTTATGGATTGAAACAGAAGAATCTATCTGATATGTTTGCAACATTCTTTTCTGTAATTATAATTCCTACATATCTTAATTATATACATGTGAATGGATTTAAACTTAACTTTGGCCCAACTGCAATAATCTTTTATTTTCACATATTGCTTGCTTATTTAGATTTCCTTACTAAGTAACTTTTCTTCAAGAATGATTCATGGGTCCTATATTTCTAGAACTATTTTATGTTCAAAAATACACATGTGTTGCCTTTGTACTAGAATAATATTTTGACTAGGTTTAATATTTTTAGGTCAAAATTTATTTCCCTAAGAACTATACACATGTTGCTTCACTGCCTTCTTAGATGCTTCTGGTCAAGATAGAGGAACAGGGACCATATTTATCCTCCCTCCTGAAACAATTGCAAAATCAGACAAAAATATATGAAACAACAGTTCTCAAGATATTGGAAATCAGTCAGTGAAGGATACTGATCCCTGATCCCTGTCCTAGTGCAGCATGTGGGAAACAGATGAGGTCACCTCTGTAACTGCCCCAACTTACTGTCTGTAGAGAGTTTCTAGGCTGTAGTTCAGAGAGTGAGAACTTGGGTACAGTGGGACAGGCTTTCAACTCTTGTGTTATTGAATTTTTGAACTTCTCAAGTTCTTCTATGGCATGAGGCATCAATGGGGAGGTTTTGTTTGTTTTTTCAGACAGGGTTTTACTTTGTAGCCCAGGCTGGATTACAATGGTGCGATCTTGGCTCACTGTAACCTCTGCTTCCTTGGTTCAAGCAATTCTCTTGCCTCAGTCTTCCGAGTAGCTGGTATTACAGGGGTGCACCACCACACCCAGCTAATTTTTGCCTTTTTAGTAGAGACAGGATTTCACCATGTTGGCCAGGCTGGTCTTGAACTCCTGACCTCAGGTTATCCACCTGCCTTGGCCTCCCAAAGTGCTGAGATTACAGGCGTGATCCACTGCGCCCGACCTGTGGTGAGTTGTCTTTTGTACCCAGAGTTATAATCCTTTCAGGATGGGTTCTTCATCTGGCTCATGCCATGTTTCTTTGCTACATTTTTCCCCATTGTCTTTCTGCCTAATGATCAGACCACTTATCTTTCTAATCCTTAATCAGGGCAGCTGGGTACAGTCTTTCTTTTTACCTTAAGATGGTATGGAAGGGCTCTCTTTGGCAACTTTCTTAGATGAAGTAGACTTGTTTGGCTTCTTCTCCAGTGTGTAGCTGGAGGCCTGGGTGGTGTCTTCCATCTACTTTTCTGTAGCCTGATCTGATCTGGTGTGAGATGAGGGCCTCGGTGTTAACCTGGTTTCTACTCTTTATTGTTGCCTAGGAAATTCCATTAAATCCACTGAATTCCATGAAGGAGGCAAAGCATCCAGGAATAAGACACAGCTCCCTTCACTGAATTCATGTGAAATCCTGGAAAACCCCTCCTGTATCCATGAAGACTGCTTGGGGACAATCAGGAGTTTTTGTGCTCAAGGGTCTCCCTGACGTTTCCCTGAGCTGCCTGCTCAATACCTCCGCCACCACCCTTCAAATTGCCATATTAACAAGAATTCTGGTTTTCTTTTCTTTATGTGACATCTATGCATGACTACACTGGGCAGGTGAGATAGTAGCTATGCCTTTATATAAAACTTTTAAAGCCTATTTTTTATTTTATTTATTTATTTTTTAGAGACAGGGTCTTGTTCTGTCACCCAGACTGGAGTGCACTGGTATGATCACAGCTCACTGTAACCTCAGACTCCTGGGCTCAAATAATCCTTCCTCAGCCTTCTGAATAGCTAGGACTCCAGGTGCACACTACCATTCCCAGCTAATTTTATTTATTTGTTTGTTTGTTTGTTTGTTTTTGTAGAGACAGAGTCTTGCTATGTTGCTCAAGCTGGTCTTGAACTCCTGGGCTCAAACAGTCTTCCCACTTCAGCCTCCTAAAGTCCTGGGATTACAAGCATGAACCACCATGCCTAACCTATTCCAGTTTTTAAATTTTCATACATATCTATTAGATGTTTATAGTGTAAGGCTGAACTCCATTCTTTGCTTCTCTGTTGCTGGTAAATTTTTGGCTATATTTTTACTAATTTTGCACATTCGTTCACATATTGGTAAAGGAACAGTCTGTGATCTGGATTTATTCAGATCTTTATTCCGAATTACCAACTGTTTTATTAGTCATTTTATCTTAAATGTGTCTCTGTTTACTAGTGATTTGCAGTATATTCCAAGTTAGTTATAAAAACATTTCACAATAGACTAATTTAATGCTTTCCTGTGAAACTGTCTTAAATTTAAAAAGTAAAGTTTTTAATATTGTAAGTAGCTGCCAGAAATAAACCAATGCTAGCTTCAAGTTCATACTTCTTACAATGAGAATTTTAAATTTCTTTACTCTTGGGAAATAGCAGGGCCTTGCTGTTTTTAATAGTGAATCAACGCTTTGAATTTTTTAGTTTCTGTCTCTCAGAAAAGAGGGATTTGTTTGGCTTTAAATATTGAGGGAGTTTCTAGAGGCCCACGGGAAATGAGAAATATGCACTTTTGTAGCAATGACTTTTGAAAGACTAGCTAAAATCCTGAAGACTCAGCAGAAGAAAGATGTTAAACTGACTTTGTCGTTTTGTTGATTATTAAATTAAGTGGAAACACAAAATGCAACCTTTGAGTCCAATACATTCATCCCCCTAGGCCCTCTGTCATCTTCAAATCAATCAGTAAACCACAGCGTGTCTCCCTGGGGGACTGTGGCAGTCTTACCTTCATGTAGTAACCTAAGACTCTCTGTAAGAATAAAAAATTAGAGCTAAGGAACAGATTTCAAATAACCAAAAGGCACACAAAAAGCATTTTAAAATATAGTGATCAAAAACACTAACGCCGTTAAAAGAAAAAGCAGAAAATGATAAAGTAATACAATGTGGTCTTGCAAAAAACAGCCTGTGATCTTACATTTCAAAACATGTCTCTCCTGTTCCTGGCACATACAAGGCCAGATGCGCTACCCGCTCCATCCTTCACATTCTCCCTGCACATCCCATTCAAACTTTTCTGCACACGGCCATGTTAAAAAGTAATGAAAATATCTGAGTCTGCCTGGCACACTCAGAGATTCTCATGACAAGTTCTTCCCTCACTGAGCACTTCCCTGACCACCCAAAATAATCACCCCCTCCCTCCATCTACCTAACACATGTGCGCGCGCACATGCACACATACATACACACACACACACACACACACACCTCTGAGTCTCACGGTCCTCTAATTACTGATATTCCTTATTACTATGGGAAATTCCTTGTCTATCTATGTACTTGTCAGTGGTATGTCTCTGCCCTAAAGGAGAAATCTTACATCGATTCGTCCTCAATCCCCAGCACCTAGAAAAGTATGTGACTTAGTAAGTGAGTGTGTGCCTACATGTTTGGATCAAATGGTTTCACAGTTAATTAGAGATGAGAATCACTTAATTGTTTCTTAGGCTTGGGTTTTCCTGTCACACAGAAGCCTTCAGAATATACAGATGTCTTTTTGCCCTAGAAGCCAAACAGAGCAGAAGATTGTAGACCCCAGTGTGTTGGGTTACTCCTGGATTGATTCCAAATACGATATTTCTTTCCAGGCCAGAAAATCGACAGACACTGTCCAACACAATGTGATTGGTCAGAACATCCAATGCGTCACCGACCTGTAGTAACAGATCACATTCCTCATCGAGCTGAGACATTTTTCTCTTCCTCATTGCTGTTAGAAGCCTGTCTTTATATTTTTCCACTTCACTTGCTTTGGTGAAAAGCACAGCAATATCCCTCGCAGAATAACCATTCCGGAAGAGGAAACGGCATTTATCCGCTACATAGACCAGTATCTCCTCCAAGTTCAAGTCTTCAATAATCTCTAAGTTGCCTGGGACACCTTGAGCCCATTTAGGTTCATAGAGCATCTCCAGGGACTGAGGGGGGAGGTTAGGTGGAAGATTTTGTCTGGCTTCCTGCATTATTTGTTGTAGGTAATTGGCTATTGGATCTGCACTGCGGACCACTCTGGTGATCTCTTCTCTTGGATACTGGGCTGAGAGAGGTGGGAGGCCACTGCAACTCAAGTGATTGGTCTGAAAGTAGTCCAGAAAGATCCAGAGAACTCCTGGGCCATCCCTTGCTGTCTGAGTGATGAACTTTGCTTTCCCATACCAGTCACCATCTTCAGTGCGGAAATTCTGAGCATCATCAATGACAATGTGCTGGACGTGTTCAAAGTTGTTTTTCATGAAGGTTTTCCGGGTCACTGGCTGGCAGATGTTTTTCTTGCTGAAACAGTAAGAAACACAGTCAGGTTTTCCCCCAATGAAACAAACAAAGCCAATTCTACTCTTAAACCCCTCTGGGCACGGTAAATGCAATATGAATTTTAGCAAGTAAACTGAAAGCCACACCAGCCACAGTCACTCAAGAAAAGAAAGTGAACACAGACAGGCAGCATACCTCACCAACTTCTTCAGGGGGTAATTTTCACAGATGTAGAGAATGTTAGTCGGTTCACAGTGAAACACATTCTTGATCTTCTCCATGATCTTAAGAGCCAAGATGGTCTTCCCTGATCCAGGTAAGCCATAAACAAACAACTCTTTGGTCTTGCGAAGGTTCTTTGAAAGCAACTCATACTGTTTATTTGTCAGTAGGTTCAAAACCTCAGAGCCCAGCTCTTCACTTAAGAAGGATTTGAACCCAAGCAAGACTATCACGAGGGACTGTAACAGGGCTTCCATGTGCTGGGGGGTCATGAAGTTATAGGATTCAGGGTAAATTTGTAAATATGAACCGCAAACGCTCTGTGCTTTTCTATCAGAATTCAGCACACAGACCAAGGGGGTAATGCATAACCTCCCAGTGTAGCCGCCTTTGTTTACCAGCTTCTGCTTCAAAGAATAAGCCACTACCATAGAATAGCCTTTGCACCCTGCATCCCACTTGCTGAAGATGGTGTAGAGAATAGGGGTGTTGTTCTGGGAAATTAGAAGGGCATCACAGATGACTCCCTGCTTCTCTTGCAGACCTAAGTCCACAGCCCAGCTTTGAGAAAAAATCAATATTCCTTGAGAGAAAGGGCGCATTTCTGTATTTATTAAGTCTCTGAGTCCTTTATGTTGTGAGAAGAGTTCCTTGTAGAGGCTTTCTGGAGTATACACCACTCTGTCTGAAAATACTAGACAGGGAAAGAATGGGAAGAAATTAGAAAAGCCTCAGACAAGCTAGTAATCATCATTATATGTAGAAGGTTCAATCAACACTGGCACTCTACCATGTATCTACAATAGTTTATACATTAGTAATAAAAGGATAAACAATTCTCGTTTTGATGGAGCACTAATTAGCTGGTATAAACAGACAATAATAATTATGGTACAAAGTGGTCATTACAACCAGAGGGAAGGACAGAAAGTATTATGTGAATACCAAGGAAAGGTACAATTTAGGAAAGAAGAAAATATGAAAGTATGAAGAAGGAAACACCTGAGCTGATTCTTTTTTCTCTTTTTTCTTTTCTTTCCTTTTTTTTTTTTTTTTTTTTTTGAGATGGAGTCTTACTCTGTCACACAGGCCAGAGTACAGTGGCATGATCTCAGCTCACTGCAACCTCTGTCTTCTGAGTTCAAGTGATTCTCCTGCCTCAGCCTCTGGAATAGCTGGGACCAGTGGTGTGTGCCACCACGCCCAGCTAATTTTTCTATTTTTTGTAGAGATGGGGTTTCACCATGTTGGCCAGGCTAGTCTCAAACTCCTGGGCTCAGGTGATCTGCCCGCCTGGGCCTCCCAAAGTGCTGGGATTACAGGCGTGAGCCACCACACCCAGCCCTGAGCTGATTATTAAAGGATGACTTTGAGTTTGTGAGTTGAAGAGGAGAATAGAGAGATGGTCAAAAGAGGGCACATGAGTAACACTCAGGAACAAGAAACAGCAAGGAAGCCGGGCGCGGTGGCTCATGCCTGTGATCCCAGCACTCTGGGAGGCCGAGGCAGTTGGATCACTTAAGCCCAGGAGTTCAAGACCAGCCTGGCCAACATGGTGAAACGCCATCTCTACAAAAAATACAAAAATTAGCCAGGCATGGTGGTGCGCGCCTGTAATCCCAGCTGCTCAGGGGGCTGAGGCACGAGAATCACTTGAACCCAGGAGGCGGAGATTGCGGTGAGCTGAGGTCACACCACTGCACTCCAGCCTGCGCAACAGAGTGAGATCCTGTCTCAAAAAAAAAAAAAAAAAAGCAAAGTCCATTCAGGTCACTCACTCCAAGCAGTTTGTGTTGCTGACATCCAAAGTGTGAAGCAAAGAGGTGAAAACGAGGATGGGGAGGAAGGCATTAGAGTGCCATCTTAACACCTGGCAAGATTACGTACTGTATGGTTTCACTTACGGATGCCAGAGGTTAGGGATTTGGGGAGTGTTTGATTAAAAAGGGACAGCATGGAGACTCTTTTTTGGCGGGGGGAGGGACATGGTCTTGCTCTGTCACCTAAACTGGGGTACAATGGTATGATCATGGCTCACTGCAGCCTGTACTTCCTGAGCTCAGGTGATTCTCCCACCTCAGTTTTCCAGGTAGCTGGGACTACAAGTACATGCCACCATATCCAGCTAATTTTTGTATTTCTTTGTAGAGACAGAGTTTCACCATGTTGCCTAGGCTGGTCTTAAACTCCTGGGCTCAAGTGATCCTCCCACCTCGGTCTCCTAAAGTGCCAGGATTACAGGTGTGAGCCACCTCACCTGGCCATCTCCATTTTTCTTTCTGGTAGGATAAAATGATTCTAAGCTTCTTCCAGAAGAGAAATGCCATGATAATATCATGTTGGTGAAAGTGTATTTGGATATATGTTTTGGATTACAATCTGGCGATATCCATCTAAATTTACAAGCAATTATACTATTTGGAATTTTTTTCTTTACTTTTCTTTTCTTTTCTTTTCTTTTTTGAGATGGAGTCTCGCTCTGTCGCCCAGGCTGGAGTGCAGTGGCACAATCGCGGCTCACTGCAACCTCCGCCTACCGGGTTCAAGAGATTCTCTTTCTTCAACCTCCTGAGGAGCTGGGACCACAGGCGCATACCACCATGCCCAGCTAATTTTTTGTATTTTTAGTACAGAAGGGGTTTCACTCTGTTAGCCAGGATTGTCTTGATCTCCTGACCTTGTGATCCACCTGCCTCGGCCTCCCAAAGTGCTGGGATTACAGGCCTGAGCCACTGTGCCCGGCCACCACTTGGAATTTATCCTTAAAGAACACCTCAGGTATATTATGGTAAAATGTATACTGTAGCAATGTTTAAAAATGAAGAAATTAAACATCATATAAAAGTCCATCAAAAAAATGACTGGGCTGGGTGCTGTGGCTCATACCTGTAATCCCAGCACTTTGGGAGGCTGAGGTGGGTATATTACCTGACGTCGGAAGTTTAAGACCAGCCTGGCCAATATGGTGAAACCCCGTCTCTACTAAAAATGAAAAAAAAAATAGCTGGGTGTGGTGGCATGCACCTCTAATTCCAGCTATCTGGGAGGCTGAGGCAGAAGAACCGCTTGAACCCGGGAGGTGGAGATTGCAGTGAGCCAAGGTTTCACCATTGCACTCCAGCCTGGGCAACAAGAATGAAACTTTATCTCAAAAAAAAAAAAAAAAAAAAAAGACTGGTAGCTGGGCATAGTGGCTCATGCCTGTATTCCCAGCACTTTGGGAAGCTCAGGTGGAAGGATTGCTTGAGTCCAGGAGTTTGAAACCAACCTGGGCAACACAGGGAGACTCCATCTCTACAAAAGTTAAAAAATTAGCCGGGCATAGTAGAGTGCCGCTACTTTGTAGAGACAGGGTCTTGCTATGTTGCCCAGGCTGGTCTCAAACTCCTGGACTTAAGCAATTCCACACCTCACCCAAGTGCTGGAATTATAGGTATGAACCACTGTGCCCAGTCTTTTCACTTTCTTTAAGGTATATTTTGAGGAACAGCTCTTAATTTTAATGTAGTAACATTTATCAATCTTTTTGTTTAAGTTTGATCCTTTTGTGTCTGGTTTAGGAAATCCTTTCCTACCCCAATGATATAATTACTCATATATATTTTCTACTGACAGTTTTAAAGGTTCGGCTTTCATATTTAAGTCCTTAAACCTCTGGAATTGATTCCGTATATAATATAAAGTAGGAGTCAATTTTTTATATGAATGAACAATCAACATATTCCAAAGCAACCAGAGATGGCCAATTACCTGGAAAGTAGCGTTTCTGCTGCTCTTTCAGACGTTCCAAATTCTTATGAATGCACACGGTCTTGCTGCGGGGTGTGGCAGATGACAAACTCAACGCAAGGACCATCTCAGGACACCTGGAAAGATCTTAGGAAACAAGAACCAAGGATTCAATATGCAAAAAGGCAGACCCCAACTTACAGCTGAACTGTGCTGCAAAGTCTTTCACCTAGTCTTACAACTCAAGCCACGGCCCACAGATACTTGCCTTTACATCTCGGGTCAGCTCAGGAAAGCCTACTGAGGTTTTTGAAGGAAAAAACCTAGCATGAAGCAACACTTTTTAATTTTATTATGTCAAAACGAAACTATATTTCTATTATTTATTTATTTATTTATATTTTGAGACAGTCTCACTCTGTTGCCCAGGCTGGAGTGCAGTGGCATGGTCTCAGCTCTCTGCAACCTCCGTCTCTCAGGTTCAAGCGATCCTCCTGAGTAGCTGGGATTACAAGCGTGCATCACCACATCCAGCTAATTTTTTGTATTTTTGATAGAGACGGAGTTTCACCCTGTTGGCCAGGCTGGTCTCGAACTCCTGACCTCAGGTGATCTGCCCCCCTCGGACTCCCAAAGTGCTGGGATTATAGGCATGAGCCACCATACCCAGCCTGTTTTTATATTTTCAGAATGCTATTTTTAAAAGAAAAATGATGAGAAGATGCAAAGGCCAATGGATATAAATATCCAAGCAGATTCTGAAGTGGACTTTGTTTTTTCTGGACTTTTGAAGAAGTTACTATTGGTTTTCTCTTGTCTAATTTTATCTCAGGCTTTCCTTTTCCAGAGTAGATGCGTGTCACCAACCATCCTCTGGCTTATCACGTACTGGCTCCCCAAAGGAAAAAATGGGAAAGCAGAGCGAAAGCCATGATTTGGTCATGTTTTGGTCCAAAAAAGGGAAGTGGGCAGTGAGAAAGGGCGAATATTTAAGAAGGGAAAGTCAGGTATAACTCCCAATGGAATCCCTCCCCCCATGTAAATGACGAGTTGATGGGTGCTGACGAGGTGATGGGTGCAGCAGCACACCAACATGGCACAAGTATACATATGTAACAAACCTGCACGTTATGCACATGTACCCTAGAACTTAAAGTATAATTAAAAAAAAAAAAAAGAAGGGAAAGTCAGAGGAAAGTGGCGGTAAATTAAAGGGGACACATCTGTACATGTGAAAAAAAGAAATTTCCTGACTAATTAAATGCAAGCTCATAATAGAAAAATAAGAGAAGAGGCTTGAATATGTACATAAGAAAGGATGTGAAAATTGAAATAACTAGGTCAAACAGCCCCCTGCACCAGCCTTTAATGGGGCTACTAGCCAGGGCATCTATTGAATGAAGACTAATTAAGATGGCAGAAAAAAGGAAGGGCAATAATCCATGAACTGCATCTACAGGGATTAATAAGTCAGACAATTGCAACTCAGAGAGTAAATCTCTTTCCCCAGATTCCAAGGAATACCATGTCTCTCTTTCCTCCCTAATCTGCCCTGCCTTGCTGCCAGCAAACATTACAACCATTTTGGATATTGCTCCCTAACCTGGGTCGGCTTCCATCATCCAAGCAGTCCATTCTCTTGTGGGCAATTGTCTCACACGGTTGTCCTTCACCTGCCAGGAACTAGGCGCTTTGGCAAACACCGCACAGCAGAATTGCTCCACCTTGATTGCACAGACATATCCACGAAGGGCCCCCTTATCATGCACTTCAAGGAAGTTAAGGACATACTGTATCTCAGGCCTCTGTGTGCAGAAATGATGGACAGGTAGCTTCTTAATACAGCCATCAATAGAAGCCCTCAAGCTCGTAAGGTCTATTTTCTCTTTTTCACATCCGATCACTTGACAAGTCCCATCGTGCACACCAAAAAATACATATCCTCCTTCGGTATTTGCAAACGCGGAAACACACTTCGGAAGTCTGTCTTTAACACAGTGCGACACGTCTGTTGAGAACATTACAAATTCAACATGTTTGGACTCAGGGAAGTTGAGTTTTTCCAGATACTGAAGCCGCTTTCTATCAAATAAAGCAGCAGCTAAGGCCTTTGTGTTACCTTCATATTGTACACTACTCTGAGCTGCCTGTGGACTTAATGAATTGGAAACATTAATATTCGTAAGAGTCTGAGTCCTCCGTTTGAGGAATGCCAGAGCTTCCTGAGCATCCATGACATCAGTGGATGTTCTCTGTCTGTGGTACAAGTTGGAGCATAAGGTAGCAAGTGGCACACCAGCCTCTGTGTTCCATGATTTCACAAAAATCAAAAAGTGGTTTTCCTGCTGCATCTCATCTAAATGGCTTCTGAAAATTGGAGGCACATCCAATCCTACTCCATGGCTTTCATAATTGTAGCCTTTGTTCTCAATCTCAGCCTTGATTATGCCCCCACCAGAATTCAGCAGAGCACATACTGCTTGCAGGATGATTTCATTCTGTTTCTCCCGCAGGCGAGGGTCCATCTCCTGCCTCCACCGAGTCCCAAGGATGACTTTTCCTGCATCTACAACACACTCCGGAAAGTTTGTATTCGAATCAATCCTAAGACTCATCTTCTCAGCACTTGGCCTATTCCTATTCTGAAATGTTCTCCTGAAAAACAGAAAGATAGAACCATTAGAACAGGACAAGAATAGGAGAGGCAGGAAAATCAATAGATTAAGGCCATCCTGCTGAGGTTGGTCCATTCATTTATTCGTGATATGATTTCACTGTGTTCCCACCCAAATCTCATCTGGAACTGTAGCTCCCATAATTCCCATGTGTTGTAGGAGGAACCCGGTGGGAGATAATTGAGCCATGGTGGGCATTTCCCCCATTTTGTTCTCATGGTAGTGAATAAGTCTCACGAGATCTGATGGTTTCATAAAGGGTTTCCCCTTTCGCTTGGCTTTCATTTCTTTCTTGCCTGCCTCCACATAAGACGTGGCTTTCACCTTCCGTCGTGATTGTCAGGCCTCCCCAGCCATGTGGAACTGTGAGTTCATTAAAGCTCTTTTTCTTTATAAATTAGTCTCAGGTTCATCTTTAACAGCAGTGTGAAAATGGATGAATGCAATTCCCACATAGCTGGAGGTCAGATTTATACATGAATTTGTAAGGGGAGTTGAGGAACTGAGTCTGCTGGAAGCACACCGCCCCCACAGAAATGACCAACAGGTTATCTTTATGCTGTGTATTTAGTAACTTTCTGCCAAGTTCTCAAAGTGGCAGAGTCTCACAGGTCAGTTGCAGAAAACAGAAAATTTTACATTGATATTTGTGGACTGGAACTGGGAAGCAATGAGAAAGCTTTTGTGATCAGAAGTATCTCTGGGGTGTGCTAATATTTATTGTTTTTCTTGATGTTTTGTCTTTCTCCTCTCCCTGAGACCTTGGCAATTTTCAGATTATTTTATAGCCTAATATCAGGAGGAGACACATCTGATTGAGTTAAAAATCTGTCTTGTTGCTATGGAACAGATACATAGCAATGATGTTAGCTTCCCCTAATCCAAATGGTTTCCATCTTGTCAAAAAAAAAAAAATCATATATATACATCCTAGCTGTGTTTCTGTGAGCAGGGGCATTTTCAGTGAGAAGGGGCATAGGCAAGACTGAGCCCAACATCTCAGCACCAGGATGCAGTTATTCAGCTTGCTCCAGAGTAATTCTACAAGACATCAAGCACTGCTGCCAAAAAAAAAAAAAAGTGTTTACTCCAGTGAGAGCAAAGGATCTGAGATCCAGTAGATAATAAATCACGAGTACACAGTGTAAACATTGGCAAAAGAGCTCAAGTTTTTGTTGGAGTGTTACCAGGAAAAGCCACCTGCAAAAGAGCTCAAGTTTTTGTTGGGGTGTTACCAGGAAAAGCCACCTGCCCCAGCTGCCAAGAATTGCCACTGGAATGGCAGGTCCTTGGTGAAATTAACTGTATCCAAGACCTAGTCTTAGACATTTCAGGATCACAAAATTAATCTTTTTAGAACCCCAAAGTTCCCTTCTGAGGGAAGGTGATTTCGTACCCCAAACTCAAAATAGAAATAGGTGAGCCACATTGATTACTTGATTACTGTTCAGTGGGAAATGTAACTATCGGGGAGCTCAGGCGTTTATTTCGAAGCTTCTCATTCCTTCCTGTAGATGCAGAGCAGTGGTCCCCAGGATCAGTTTCATGGAAGACAATTTTTTCACGGATGGGGGTTGGGGGTTGGTGAGGGGATGGTTTCAGGATGGCACTGTTCTACCTCAGATCATCAGGCATTAGATTCTCATAAGGAGCACGCAGCCTAGATCCCTCACATGCACAGTTCATAATAGGGTTCATGCTCCTATGAGAACCTAATGCCACTGCTGATATGACAGGAGGCAAAGCTCAGGCGATAATGCTCACTCACACTCACCTCCTGCTGTTCAGCCTGGTTCCTAACAGGACACAGACAGGTACTGGTCCACCGCTGGGGGGTTCGGGACCCCTGGTGTAAAGTATGTGAAGCCAGATTTCAGAAGGTTGCTTGATAAGCATGAAATCAGATCAAAAGAGGCTTTTTATGACCTGATTGACCTCAGTATCCACAATTTCATGCAGCTGTGCCACAAGGCAATCACTAAAAGGAAAGTGGCATCTTGTAATAGTAAATCGCTTGGGCTGTGGAATGAGGAAAACCTGAGTTCAAACTCCCAGTATTTGCCAGCTTTATGTCTTTGGGAAAATTGTTTTAACCTATTTTCATATACTCTGAAACAGGTTTAAAGGAACCAACCTGGTAGTGTTTTGTGAGATTAAAACAGAAAAAAAAAAGCAGATATCCTGGAGAGATGAACAAGAATTTTCAAAGCATTGCTGTTCAAAATAGCAAAAAATTGGAAATAAATGTTGATAAGGTCATTCTCAGTATGGAAAATGACATTCACTTTCACTAAAACAGGCCCTATTTTGTTTTTTTTTTTGAGACGGAGTCTAGCTCTTGTTGTCTGGGTTGGAGTGCAGTGGCGTGATCTCAGCTCACTACAAACTCCGCTTCCTGGGTTCAAGCGATTCTCCTGCCTCAGCCTCCCGAGGATCTGGGACTACAGGTGCCTGCCACCATGCTCGGCTAATTTTTGTATTTTTAGCAGAGATGAGTTTCACCATGTTTGCCAGGCTAGTCTTGAACTCCCAACCTCCAGTGATCTGCCTGCCTTGGCCTCCCAAAGTGCTGGGATTACAGGCGTAAGCCACTGCGCCTGGCCTATATGCACTATTTTGAAAGAACTCTAAGAATACAATGTCATAAAAAATACACAAACCACAGAACACATCTATTATGATTCCATTTATATGAAGTTCAAAAACAGGTAAAACTAAATAGTATATTATTTAGGGAGACATATATAGGTAGTAATATCATAAAGAAAAGTAAGGAAATAATAGACATGACATTCAAAATAGTGGCTACCTCTGGTTGGGGAGGAAGAGGATGGAATTAGGGAGACAGAAATAGGGGAGAAATATACAGGAAGCTTCTTAGCTTCTAGAAATGTATTTCTTAATTGGGGTGAATACATGTGTGTTCATTTTAATATTATTTTTAACTATGCAATGAAGTTATATTCTCTGTTGTACGTGTGATATACTTTACAATAAAATTATCCCAAAATGAAATGAGTTTTCATTTTTTCCCCAGCCATTGTTACACAAGTACAAGCTTTCTGCTCAGGCAGACAATGGTCCCCTGCAGGACTCCATCCATTGTTCCATGTATGCCTTTTCATCTCTAGTTAAAGCCCTAGGGCGCTACCTCCTAACTCTGACAGACACACAGATTAGATCAGATTCTGCTAAAATACCCACGCCTACGCACACGTGCGCAGACATACACACACACACACACACACACACGCCATAGAAGTCGTTTTCTAAAAGCAGATTCAGTGTTTTCTACATTGTTTTTATTCCAACTTACATATTTCCCAGCAGTAAATGTAATATGTGCTCGATGTGTCCAAAAAAACAAAAAAAACCTAAAGGCAGAACTGAAGAAAAAGAACACTTATAAATTCACCATTTAAAGATTTAGCATTTCTAATGCATTCCCTTCAGCACTTTTCTCTAAATATTTTTGTGTTGTTGGTTTGCAGAGCGATTAACAATAAGATTTGTCTTTTTTTTTTTAACATAATTAATCCTTTTTCTAATTAGAAGAATAACAGGAGATTCCAACGTAAGAATCCCAGGAAAGACGTCTGTCCCTCCTTCACCCCCCATAGACTATTGAAAACAACAGTGAGTGTTTTAAAATCCAGAAATTTATCTATCTATTTATTTTTATTTTTTTCAGACAGAGCCTCGCTCTATTGCCCAGGCTGGAGTGCAGTGGCGCGATCTCGGCTCACTGCAGCCTCTGCCTCCTGGGTTCAAGTAATTCTCCTTCCTCAGCCTTCCGAGTAGCTGGGACTACAGGCGCAAGCCACCATGCCCAGCTAATTTTTGTATTTTTAGTAGAGACAGGGTTTTGCCATGTTAGCCAGGCTGTCTCGAACTCCTGATTTCAGGTGATCCACCCACTTCAGCCTCCCAAATAGCTGGGATTACAGGCGTGAGCCACCACGCCCAGCTGAAATCCAGAACTTTAAACCTCGATATAGATGCAGAAGGAATGCCAAGTGCAGTGAAAACTTGAGCAGGGAAGTTGATGACACCAAAATAGAATGCCTGCAGTGACGGATGCTGGGCATTGCCGGCAAAATTTGAAGTTCTCTGAAGTAGGAAGAAAACCAGTGACTCATGCATGATTACAGAACCCTCTGTCATAAGAGTTGGCACCGTGAACTGAGATTTCAGATTTCACACTATCTGGACAGTGTCCTTGCCCTGCCCCCTGCATTTCTTCCCTCAAAAAACTGGATGCAGGAAACAAGAGACTCAACAAGGAAAGGACGTTTAAAAATTCCCTGGCTGTTTGTGAAGGGAGGTCCGGGAATGACAGCTGTACAGCAGGCCTATAGATCACCAGGCAAAACTACACAACAGAGCAGCAGGCTTCGGTGGACAGCGCCTAAGACCATGTAATTGACAGATCACTTAATCAGTTAGTAAACTGAAAGGGTGGAGAGTAGGGGATGAATTGGTCATAGGCACTTAGGAAGATAGGCAAATACAAAAGCAGTATAGTAAATAAAAGATAACCATAAAGCATTATTTGGCACCGTTGTAAATAAAGTCCTAGTCATGATAATATAAGCTCTGCATATTGTTCTGATAAAAAAATGATGATATAAGATATAGTTGTATTGGCAGGATGTGGAGAAGGAAGGCATAGGATGAGAAGCGTTGGCCAGGTGCAGTGGCTCATGCTTGTAATCCCAGCACTTTGGGAAGACAAAATGGGTGGATCACCTGAGGTTAGGAGTTCGAGACCAGCGTGGCCAACATGGTGACATCCCATCTCTATTAAAAACACAAAAATTAGCCAGGTATGGTGGCATACGGCTGTAGTACCAGCTACTCAGGAGGCTGAGGCATGAGAATCACTTGAGCCCAGGAGCTGGAGACTGCAGTGAGCTGAGATCATGCCACTGCACTCCAGCCTGGGTTACAGAGTGAGACTCCATCTCAAAAAAAAAAAAA